ATGGTGGAATTATATTACTGTAATGACTTTTGAAACCAGGCAACATAGTGGTTTAGTGGTTAGCACTTCTGCTTTGCATCTATGGGGTCCTTGGTTTGAATGGAGGTCAGGACATTATTTGAATGGAGTTTGAATGCTTCTCCTACATTCCAAGGACATGCTGGTTGGCTTGACCATGGTATGTGTGTGCAGGTCTACAAATGACAACAGCAGACCCTGGAGTGGCTAAATCAGCCTTGGTGCTCATTTCAAATTTGGAGCCACAGAAAAATGTAAGGGCCTAAAGTTTGAAATATTTGAAGAGGTCATTGTAGTCGATGGGATGGGATCCTGCGATGAAAGACCTTGGTTGGGCGCTCCAAAAACAAGCTGGTAGGTTAATTTTCCCTTGTATGATATTATGCTGAGTGTGCCCAAAATGGCTCCCACAGCGGTAGACAAAGCACCTTAGGGGCCCAGGAAGTCACAAGGACGCCATTGAGAGAACTCTTAGCATTTTCTAAAGGGGTGCAAAGTGTTCTCTGATTGGACAAGTTTGAGCGGTGACGTAACTATGCAAAAATATTAATCTTGACGTATTGGGTATCTATTTACTCGGTGCAACCTCATCTTGACATGTTGGGAATCTATTTACTCAGTTCAACCTCATCCTGACATGTTGGGTATATATTTACCCCTTGCAACTTTCTCTTGACATGTTCGTAATCTATTTACTCAGTGCAACCTCATTTTGGGTATCTATTTACTCGGTGCAATTTCATCTTGACATGTTGGGTATTTCTTTACTCGGTACAACTTGATCTTGGCATGTTGGGTATATATTTACTTGGTGCAACGTCATCTTGATGTGTTGGGTATCTGTTTACTCGGTGCAACCTCATCTTGACATGTTGGCTATTTACTCGGTGCAACCTCATCTTGACATGTTGGGTATTTACTCTTTGCAACTTCATCTTGACATGTTGGGTATTTACTCTTTGCAACTTCATCTTGACATGTTGGGTATTTACTCTTTGCAACTTCATCTTGACATGTTGGGTATTTACTCTTTGCAACTTCATCTTGACATGTTGGGTATCTCTTTACTCGGTGCAATCTCATCTTGACAAGTTGGCTAATTACTCGGTGCAACCTCATCTTGATATGTTGGGTATCTCTTTACTCGGTGCAACCTCTTCTTGATATGTTGGGTATCTCTTTACTCGGTGCAACCTCATCTTGACAAGTTGGCTATCTATTTACTCGGTGCAACCTCATTTTGACATGTTGGGAATCTATTTACTTGGTGCAACCTCCTCTTGACATGTTGGGTATCTCTTTACTCAGTGCAGCCTCATCTTGACATGTTGGGAATCTATTTACTCGGTTCAAGCTCATCTTGACATGTTGGGTATCTCTTTACTCAGTGCAGCCTCATCTTGACATGTTGGGAATCTATTTACTCGGTGCAACCTCATCTTGACATGTTGGGTATCTCAACTTCATTTTTTATATTTTGCCAAAGAAAAGGGGCATTATATTGCTTTTATGTGCCCTAAAATTAACTTAAGTATATTTTTTACAGAAATTTTGCATTTCATAAACCGTTATCGCTACTATTGCGTGATATAAAAATATTTTGAACTACCACCATTTTGTTCTCCAGGGTGTCTGCTTACAAAAAATATATAAGGTTTTTGGGAGTTTCATACAATCTTCAGGCCTAAAATGATTTTTAAAATATGTTTAAAAAATGCAAAAACTGCTCGGGTGACAAAATGGTTAAAGGACCACCGAGGGTAGGGGGACAACAAGCCATGTTCTTCTTAGCACAGGTCTCATACATAGACCTTTGTGCCAGAAGTTCTGAAAACCAACACAGCGAGGTCCTGATACTGAGACAGAAACATTTTCAGGAATGAAAAATATCCAGGAATCTTCCATCCATGCTGGATCGCTGAGTATGAAGCCTCTGTCACAGCGAGAAGGGTTCTGATTGGTTGCCATGGGTGACACATCCCACATTTAATTTTTTTTTGATATATATATATATTTTTTTTTTTTATATAAGTGAGACCTATGGTGTCGCTAGTTTCAGCAGTTACCGTGGCGATACAAGATGCGAGAACTCCTAGGTAATAAGCATAGTACGTAGGAGATCCAGAAATAGCTCTTACTATGTGAATCAAGGAGAGAAGAAGTCGAGGTGACTGCAGGCTGAAGGAGCGGTGCTCAGGGCTCAGGAATTGAATGGCATCTCAGTTGTGGGTGGAGGTGAAAGCTTGCTAGCTTTTTACTCCAACTGGAGACTTCAGCAGGCCGATCTTCTTACCTGGCCGGATCAATGATGATTAAACAGCAGGATTCAAAAATAAAAACTATTGGTCTGCGAAAGTGGTAAAGGTGTCATGGGGGGTCTGGATTCCCCTAAGGGGTCAGGAGCATGGAGTCCAGTTTGCCCTGCTAGGACACCAACAACCAATGATCCTCCAGGGCCAGGACCCTGATGTGATGGGGGACACCCAGATGTGATGGGGGGAGTCATGTACAGGGGCTTTTGATGTATAGCAGTGACTCTGATGTGATGGGGGGGGTCATGTATAAAGGGCTTCTGATGTATAGGGGTGACACTGATGTGATGGAGGGGGGACTCACATACAGAGGGCTTCTGATGTATAGGGTGACCAGGGGCGGACTGACAACTCATGGGGCCCCCGGGCAATAGGGGATCATGGGGCCCCTGTGTCCCTGCCCAAACTCAAAAAAGCCTATGAAAAAGGTACCAGGGGCATCTCATGGGGCCCCCTACTGACCAAAATTTTTGCTGGAGTCCCAAAGCCTTAGAAATGGCTTTGTAATACTGTCCAGGTGGATACATGGCATATATTTTGTTTCTCATCTGTTCTTGAATCTCTTTAGACTGCAGCATGATGTGTTGCTTCTTGAGATCTTTTAGCGTGCTTTACTTTGTCAGACGGCTTCTATTTAAGTGATATCTTGATTCAACGGGTCTGGCAGTAATCAGGCCTGGGTGTGGCAAGTAAAATTCAACTCAGCTCCAAACAATGTGGTTAATCACAGTTAATTCATGATTTAGCAGCGGGGGAGAGGGGGGCTGCAATTACTTGTAGCACCCTCCTAGGTAGCTAGGGGGAGCTAGATGATTTTTTTTTTTTTTGGTTAGAGGCTGAGTAGCAGCCTGTTGGAATAGTCTAAGGCAGGGGTAGGCAACCTGCGGCTCTCCAGCTGTTGCAGGACTACAAGTTCTATCATGCCTCTGCAAGTCATAGCTGTAACTGTCAATTTTGCACTGTCTCATGGGAAATGTAGTTCCACAACAGCTAGAGAGCTGCAGGTTGCCTACCCCTGGTCTAAGGGGATAGAATTTTGGTCAGAGCTGAGAAGCTCTGCAGACCAGCTCTCAGGAACTTCCCCCTGATCTAGAGACTTGGAGAAGTCTCTAGAACTCAGTGGGATGGGATGAGGAGGGGCTGGTCTGTCCTGGCCAATCCCCAAGCAGGATGCTTGGCATGGGTCAGGGCAGCCCTTAAGAGTGACAGAGCATGCTCCACAGCAGGAGAGTTCATGTTGAAGATGGACTGAGCAGGATGGTGTATGGAGCCTGGGTGGGGGGCCTACCTACAGGCAGAAGAGCTGGAAGGGAGGATCTCTGAGCCTCATGTCCCCTGAGAAAGGACAGCCTGGGAAGCGGGGAAGGAGCCAGCCAAGCGTAAGGCCTAAAGGGAGTGAGTAATCCCACACCCCCTGGGCTGGATAAGGAGAAAGGGCATTCGGGTGGGGAACCTGACTAGCCCTCTTCTGAGACTGCTTTCATTTAAGGTGGCAACTGCTGGGACCTCTTGGCCAGGGATTCCCTCGGGCAGGTGAATGAAGAGGAGATTTCATCTAGGGTATCAGGAGGTAAACAAGGAGAGGCTGACTAGTTCTCCAAGAAGAGAAGAGAAACCCCTTTCTGACTACTTGAACATAGTTAGAGGAAGTTGTCCTCAGTTTTACAGTTCCTTTGGCATCCCATGTACCCCTCATCCCATCCAAGTTACCACCCCTAATAAAATTAAAAAAAAAAAAAAAACAAGTTCAAGCACTGTTTACTGTCTCTGGAGTGCAAAGTCTGAAGGAAATGCGTCTTGCCTGGCTGTGCAGGACTACAGGGGAACCCAAATCTCTAGTGACTCCTAAGGGGGTAGTGCTACATACTTTTTCACACAGGGTCAGGAAGGTTTGGACAGCTTTTTTCCCTTAATAAATGAAATCATCATTCCAAAACTGTATTTTGTATTTACTCGGGTTATCTTTGTGTAATATTTAAATTTGTTTGCGATGATCCAAATCATTTAAGTTTGACAAATATGAAAAAAAAAAAAAAATCAGGAAGGGGGCAGATACTTTTCACAGCACTGAATAAAATGATATATAATCCAAGATGCCTTTATAGACTGTGGTCCCGCTAGAAGTATAAAAGTTCATACCTCTATCACTGGGACATACAGGCGTAACTCGGTTTACGAATTTAATTTGTTCTGTGGGACTTTCCGTATTGTGAACAATTCGTAGGAATGCACTGAAAACCAATTAATCCGTTCTGGAGGTCAGAAAAAAGAAAAAAAAAAGTCTTTTATCTGTTCAAAACTCTTTATAAAGTGCACTTTAAAGGCATAGATACTGTACAGGGACATGATTAAAAATCAATTTGTAAATGCATTGAAAACCAATTAATCCATTCCGGAGATCAGCAAAAAGTCAAAAAAAGTACCGTATTTTCCGGCGTAAAAGGCGACTGGGTGTATAAGACGACCCCCTAATTTTCCAGTTAAAACATAGGTTTTGGGCTATACTCAGCGTATAAGACTACCCCCCTTCTGAGGTAACACCATTTAACCCCTCGCCTACAGGGCACTTATACCCACTTCCCCCCAGGCCAATTTTCAGCGTTCAGCGCTGTCACACTTTGAATGACAATTGCGCGGTTATGCAACACTGTACCCATATGAAATAGGTGGCACTGATGAGGAGGCACTGGTAGGTGGCACTGATGGGCATTGACAGGTATCACTGATGGGCACTGAAAGCAGCACTGATACATGGCACTGATAGGCGGCACTGACTGGCACTAATAGGTGGCACTGATAGGTGGCACTGATTGGCATTGATAGGTGGCACTGACTGGCACTGATGGGTGACACTGAAAGGCAGCTCAGATGGGCACTGATATGTGGCATTGATGTGGCACTGATATGTGGCATTGATGTGGCACTGATTTGTGGCATTGATGTGGCACTGATGGACACTGACAGGTGGCACTGCTGGGGCTACACTGATCATCAGGGCACACTGATCATCAGTGCCCTGATGATCAATGTACATGTCCCCCCCAAGGAATGCCGATTACCGGCTCTCCTCTGTCAGCGTGACAGCTCGAGAGGAGAGAAATGCCAATAACCGGCATTTCCCTGTGTACATGTGATCAGCTGTGATTGGACACAGCTGATCACATGACCGAGCCGACATCTTCAGCTCTTTCCGTGATCGGTGATCCGCTGTGTCCGAGGGACACAGCGCATCACCGCGCATGTGCGGAGAATGGGAGGACGTCATATGAGCCAATCACGGGAAAGTGATGTATTCTATTAATGAATACAGAGCCTGCTCGGATTGGCTGCGTCAGAGAGGGTGGGCTGATGATGTCACAACTTCAGCCAATCTGAGCAGGCTCTGTATTCATTAATAGAATACATCGCTCGCCGTGATTGGCTCAGCGCGGTACACTGTATGTAGCTGAAGCTACCGTACAGTATTACCGCACATCCAGCGTTCTATACCCGGCGTATAAGACAACCCCCAAATTGTTGGGGTATGTTTTTAACCTCCTTGGTGGTATTCCCGAGTGTAGCTCGGGGGTAAAATTTCAGTACCAAGAGCGGTAACCCCGAGCTACACTCGGGCTTACCATGCGGCGTTGCTCAGGGAGTCCATGAAGCGCTTACCTTGTCCTCCGCTCCCACGATGTGTCCTCTGCAGCATCCCCGGCCATCTCCTCCGGCCGATGCCGGCATCCGGCTTCTGTGTTCCGGTCCCTGTGACGTCGGGACGTACGGGCACCGAAATCAGTGGCAAATTTGAAATTTTTAAAAAATTTCATTTTTTTAAAAATGATTATTACATAGTAAAACATTGCTGTTTCAACCCATTTCACATACATTTTGTCCCGAGTGCTTTGTCCGGCGCCCTGCCTGCATTTTTACTGTTCTTTCTGCCTGGAAACTTAGAAAAGTCCATGGCGTCCAAAAAGCGTCCCTTTAGGTCAAAAGCGGTTTTAGACCGGCTAGAGAACAGCGATAGTAAATCAGAACCACTTGCAGAATTGAGTGATAATGATTCGTGGGGGAAATTCCTCATCAGACACTGAAAACTATTCTGCGACTTTGCTCAGCGATGTGTGAATTTGCCTCTGTATTTCAAATTTCAGTGTTTTTGGTTTGATTATATTATTGAATTAAATTTATTATTATTATATTATTTTTTATGATTATTTATTAAATTATAATTTATGATTTCGTGTTTAAAATTTTATCATACCCGGATGTTTACTAGACTCTTGTTCGGACAGATTTCAGTGAGTTATTCCTAAAAATTACAGCCTACAATAAAAAACTACATATTTCCATGCAAAAAAATTTACCGCTTTCAGCACAAAAAAATCGGAAAGAATCATACCGCCGAGGAGGTTAAGTAAAAAAAGTTGTCTTATACGCCGGAAAATACGGTATTTTATCTGTTCAAAACTCTTTATAAAGTGCACTTTAAAGGAATAAATACTGTACAGGGACATGATTAAAAATTAATTTGTAAATGCATTGAAAACCAATTAATCCGTTCTGGAGGTCAGAAAAAAGTTTAAAAAAAGTATTTTATCTGTTCAAAACTCTTTATAAAGTGCACTTTAAAGGCATAAATACTGTACAGGGACATGATTACCAAAAAAATTCATAAATGCATTGAAAACCAATTAATCTGTTTGTACTGCGATAAAAATGTGTAAACTGAGCCATTATTTTCAATGGATTTTCATTCGTAAGCCAAAAATGACGTTCACCGGGGCATTCGTAAACCGAGGTACGCCTGTATACAGAAAGTATATATTATGTTCTCACCAATAACATTGATAAGAACATTTACAAAAAGAAACAAAGGCTTGAAGGACTTTAAAGGTGCTCATATACACTCAGGATGAAAAACTAAATGTATAAAAATGATGAAATGTTATTACACATAATAAAATGGAACATACACCCTCCCATAATCAGGTAAGAAAAGGAACCCTTCAGTACAGTGAATCCCATATCACAGGTGATGCTGATCCCTGGGAGAGAGGTTTATGTAGGAAAAGACAGAGAACTATATCGTCTACCTGAATTTGGCTTTTCGTCTCCCCATGGAGGGTGGATTCATGTTTTAGAATCGTTAGGGTTCCAGACATTGCAGGCATTTGACAAGCTGTATACTATCTTGCCAATTCTTTGTGGGCCAGTTGTTTCTATGATTCGGAAGATGATAGCTATGAACTAGGAATCTCCTTTTCCTCGGGAAGTTTGGTGTTTGGGCCCCTGTGTGTGCCTTGGCCTGAGAGCTCCCGGCAATGTCTGGTCCCATTGTACCCGCCTCTCTCTCTCGGGGTCGATCTTTGGTCTGAGCGGCTGTCAGTATGGTGTTTTCCCATCCTCTGAACTCCTGAAGAAGCCAACTCGGTGAAACGCGTTGGTATTTACCATGATTTCTCCTTCCCACATTGATGTTTGTTACACTGATGACCTTTAGGTCATGGTTCGGTATTGTTAGTAAAGGGAAAGTGTGATGATGTGGGATTCACTGTACTGAAGGGTTCATTTTCTTACCTGATTTTATGGGAGGGTGTGTATTTTATGGTTAGGGCGGTATAGTGACAGGAAAGGGCGGTTATAGTGGCAGGTTAGGGTTAGTATAGTGGCAGGTTAGGGCAGTTATAGTGGCAGGTTGGGGCGGTATAGTGGCAGGTTGGGTTTAGAATAGTGGCAGGTTGGGGGCGGGTATAGCGGCAGGTGCGGGTGGTATAGTGGCAGGTTGGGGGCGGGGTATAGTGGCAGGTTGGGGGTGGTATAGTGGCAGGTTGAGTTAGTTATAGTGGCAGGTTGGGGGTGGTATAGTGGCAGGTTGGGCGGGGGCGGTATAGGGCAGGTTGGGTAGTATATTGGCAGGTTAGGGCGGTTTAGCGGCAGGTTGGGTAGTATATTGGCAGGTTAGGGGGCGGTATAGCGGCAGGTTAGGGCGGTATAGCGGCAGGTTGGCAGGTTGGGGCGGTATAGTGGCAGGTTAGGGCAGTATAGTGGCAGGTTGGGTTAGAATAGTGGCAGGTTGGGGGAGTTTATAGCGGCAGGTGCGGGTGGTATAGTGGCAGGTTGGGGGGCGGTATTGTGGCATTGGGTTGGGGGTGGTATAGTGGCAGGTTGGGGCGGGTATAGCGGCAGGTTGGGGAGGGTATAGTGGCAGGTTGGGTAGTATATTGGCAGGGTTAGGGCGGTATAGCGGCAGGTTAGGGCGGTTATTAGGCAGGTTGGGGCGGGTTTTGGTATAGCGGCAGGTTAGGGCGGTTATATAGCGGCAGGTTGGGGCGGGTATATAGCGGCAGGTTGGGGCGGTTATAGCGGCAGGTTAGGGGTATTGGGGGGGGGGGGTATTTAGGTTTTAGGGGCAGGTTAGGTTGGGGTGGTATAGCGGCAGGTTGGGGCGGTATAGTGGCAGCAGGTTAGGGTTAGTATAGTGGCAGGTTAGGGCGGGTTGTGGGTGGGTATATAGTGGCAGGTTTGGGGCGGTATAGGCAGCAGGTTAGGGTTAGTATAGTGGCAGGGTTAGGGCGGCGTTATAGTGGCAACGTTGGGGCGGTGGTTATAGTGGCAGGTTGGGGGTGTTGGTTAGGGCAGGTTTAGGGTTATTATAGTGGCAGGTTAGGGTGGTATATAGTGGCAGGTTAGGGTATAGTGTATAGTTAGGTTGGCAGGGTTAGGGGTGGTATAGTGGCAGGGGGTGGTATAGTGGCAGGTTGGGGCGGTATTAGTGCAGGTTTGGGTGGTATAGTGGCAGGTTGGGGCGGTTATAGTGGCAGGGGGTGGTTATAGCGGCAGGTTAGGGGTATAGTGGCAGGTTAGGGTGGTTATAGTGGCAGGTTAGGGCGGTTTTATAGCGGCAGGTTGGGGGTGGTATAGCGGCAGGTTGGGGGGTGGTATAGTGGCAGGTTAGGGGCGGTATAGCGGCAGGTTGGGGCGGTATATGGCAGGTTGGGCGGTATAGCGGCAGGTTAGGGCGGTATAGCGGCAGGTTAGGGCGGTATAGGGCAGGTTGGGGCGGTGGTATAGCGGCAGGTTGGGGCGGTTTATAGTGGCAGGTTGGGGCGGTATAGCGGCAGGTTGAGGGCAGGTATAGTGGCAGGTTAGGGTTAGTATAGTGGCAGGTTGGGGCGGTATAGTGGCAGGTTGGGGCGGTATAGTGGCAGGTTGGGGCGGTATAGCTGCAGGTTGGTTAGTATAGTGGCAGGTTATAGTGGCTGCAGGTTAGGGTTAGTATAGCGGCAGGTTTAGGGGGCGGTTGGCAGGTTAGGGTGGTATAGCTGCAGGTTAGGGTGGTAGTATAGTGGCAGGTTGGGGCGGAGGTATTAGTGGCAGGTTGGGGCGGTATAGTGGCAGGTTGGGGCGGTATAGTGGCAGGGTTAGGGTTAGTTTAGTGGCAGGTTAGGGTGGTATAGTGGCAGGTTGGGGTGGTATAGCTGCAGGTTAGGGTTAGTATAGTGGCAGGTTAGGGCGGTATAGGGGCAGGTTGAGTTTGTATAGCGGCAGGTTGGGGGTGGGTATAGTGGCAGGTTGGGCGGTATAGTGGCAGGTTTGGGTTAGTATAGCGGCAGGTTAGGGCGGTATAGGTAGCGGCAGGTTGGGGGGTATAGCGGCAGGTTGAGCGGTATAGCGCAGGTTGGGGTTATAGGTTTGGTAGTATAGTGGCAGGTTGGGCGGTATAGTGCAGGTTAGGGTGGTATAGTGCAGCAGGCCAGGGGGTTAGTATAGCGGCAGGTTAGGGCGGTATAGCGGCAGGGGGGTTAGTATAGCGGCAGGTTGGGTAGTATAGCGGCAGGTTGGGTTAGTATAGTGGCAGGTTAGGGCAGTTTATAGCGGCAGGGTTGGGGGCGGTATAGCGGCAGGTTAGGGGGTTTAGTATAGCGGCAGGTTAGGGTTAGTATAGTGGCAGGTTGGGGCGGTTATAGCGGCAGGTTGAGTTAGTATAGCGGCAGGTTGGGGGGGTTAGTATAGCGGCAGGTTTGGGGTAGTATAGCGGCAGGTTGGGTAGGTATAGCGGCAGGTTGGGGGCGGTATATAGTGGCAGGTTGGGGGGTAGTATAGTGGCAGGTTTAGGGTAGTATAGTGGCAGGTTGGGGGGTTGGGTTGGTATAGCGGCAGGTTGGGTTAGTATATATAGTATAGCGGCAGGTTGGGTTAGTATAGTGGCAGGTTGGGCGGTATAGTGGCAGGTTGGGGCGGTAGTGGC